CCGCCGTGCTGGCGCTGGCCGCGCTGGCGCTGGCGGCGCTGCTGGGCGCCAGCGCGGCCGCCGCCTGCCACTGCAAGCGCCGCGCCGAGCGCAAGTACCGCGCGCGACTGGCCGCGCTGGGACTGACGCGCCTCGACCCTAAGCCCGGCGGCCTGGACCGCTGGGAGATCCCGCGCGAGCGCGTCGTTATCAATAGGAAGCTCGGCACGGGCGCCTTCGGCACCGTGTACGGGGGGCACGCGCTACTGGCGGAGGACCGCGGCTGGTCCGCGGTCGCCGTCAAGACGCTCAAGGCCGGCGCCACCACCGAGGAGAAACTCGACTTCTTATCCGAAGCGGAGGCCATGAAGCGCTTCGACCACAAGAACGTAGTGCGACTGCTGGGGGTGGTCACGAAGACGGAGCCGGTGTGCACCGTGATGGAGTTCATGCTGTACGGCGACCTGAAGAACTACCTGCTGGCGCGGCGCCACCTGGCGGCCGCGGGCGCGGGCGAGGCGGACGAGGTGTCGGCGCCGCGGCTGACGGCCATGGCGCTGGACGCGGCGCGCGGGCTGTCGTACCTGGCGCAGCTGCGCTACGTGCACCGCGACGTGGCGGCGCGCAACTGCCTGGTGTCGGCGCAGCGCGTGGTGAAGCTGGCCGACTTCGGCATGACGCGCCTGGTGTTCGAGCACGACTACTACCGCTTCAGCCGCAAGGGCATGCTCCCGGTGCGCTGGATGGCGCCGGAGAGTCTGGCGCTGGGCGTGTTCTCGCCGGCGTCCGACGTCTGGTCGTTCGGCGTGCTGCTGTACGAGATCGTGACGTTCGGCTCGTTGCCGTTCCAGGGCCTGAGCAACGCGGAGGTGCTGGCGCGAGTCAAGGCCGGCCATACCCTGGAGCTGCCGCCGGGGTTGAAGCCGCAACTGTGAGTCATTACTTCGTTGTCACGTTTTCGGGGACTAGATACGAATTACACTATAAACGTTTCTTTTTACGATTTCGTAGTCAGATATTGGAAGTGCCAGTGCCTAGTTCGCAAAACGCAAGTATTTTAGTCGAGATGCATTATACATACGTCATGTCTGTCTGTCAGTCCGTCTCACAGTACTGCTCCAAACATATTTTGTGACATAAGTTGTACAAAAGTTATATAAAGTGACCAAGTTATATATGTGACAAAGTTATATTTCAAGTCTTTTCCCAAAGTCGATTAAGAGATAAACGCAGTGTGCACCTTTGCGGAGAATTTCCCGTCTGACGGCCTGTCGGAGGATGGTGAGGGCGATGTTTAACGACAGCCCTCTTCATCACATATATCGGTAGATTTAATTGAGTTATTGTTATATATTTAACATACCTATGTTTATGCAGCTCTCAATCTCAATCTAACTCAATTAAATCTTCGTAAATAAAGCAATGTTTACTTTCGACAGTGCACCTTTACTTGTTCACATTTTAATTAAGCCGGCATTTCCAACGGACTATTCTGAGGAGAAACGTCGAAACAAACTCAGAGGTCTCAGTCACTTTCAAAGTTCAAAAATGGTTTAAACACATCAAAGTTTAGTCCACAAGTCATAGAAAAAAAGTAGATTTCGCCAGTGCAATAACTTAAGTAGGTACTTTTAAATTGTCAACGCATGGTCTTCACGACGTAAACTGCACTAGTCCATCCTACACAGTTTATTTGATGCGTGTAGTCGTGTCTTCTATCATAAATCTCTGCGTGTCTCAATCGTCGTGCACATATTTATATAAGTATCTTCACGGGTGTCGTTCGTTGCTTCGTTCGTTCGTGAAACGAACCGAACTGACGCGTGACAGTTGATGGAGTAACCCGTGTGTACTAAGTAAAACGTACTTTGCAGGGAGGGACTCATCAAGTCGTGCTGGCAGGCCGAGCACAAGGCGCGGCCCAGCGCCGCCGAGGTGGCCGCCTTCCTGGCCGACTCGCCGCGCCTGCTGGCGCCCTGCCTCGACCTGCCGCTGGACGCGCTGCCGCTGGACCTGGAGCCCTGGCAGCACGCGCGCGACCGCGCCGAGGTACGTATCCGTCCCGCTGCAGGCTGCGTGCGCCAGGCCCCGCTAGTACTAAGTAGTACGTGGCTCGTTGCAGGCGCGCTGGGTGTCGTGGGGCGCGCCGGCGTCGGGCGCGACGGACACGACGTACCTGAGCGCGGACGCGCCGCCGGCGGACACGGACGCCTTCCTCTCGTGACGCTGCGAGCCGGGACCCGCTCGACTGCTCAAGCTTTACACGTAAATCATTCCGACACTTTTCTAGTCAAAATGCAGGTATAAATATAGGATTATTATTGTAAACAATCTAAATTAAAATGTAAATAGGTACCTATATTGATAAGTTTTTAATAAAAGTATCACAACAATATTTGTTTTATTGACTTGCATAGGCATATATTATGTAGGTACTTGTACAGGTATGCCAAAAAGAGAGAGGTAGGATTGAGTAAGAAACATATTTTCGAATTTTTAATAAAGGCACAATTTAATTTCGACCATTGGCCTACAGTTCCAGCGGTCGATCCGCTGCGGGCAACCTAACATTCGACAAATTATAATTGCGTTTGGATGATTATGTGCGTGATTATGTGTAAGGATCAATCCGTTTGTATGTGTGTGGCTGTTACACATGCGATTGTATGTGTGTGGCTGTTACACATGCGATTGTATGTGTGTGGCTGTTACACATGCGATTGTATGTGTGTGGCTGTTACACATGCGATTGTATGTGTGTGGCTGTTACACATGCGATTGTATGTGTGTGGCTGTTACACATGCGATTGTATGTGTGTGGCTGTTACACATGCGATTGTATGTGTGTGGCTGTTACACATGCGATTGTATGTGTGTGGCTGTTACACATGCGATTGTATGTGTGTGGCTGTTACACATGCGATTGTATGTGTGTGGCTGTTACACATGCGATTGTATGTGTGTGGCTGTTACACATGCGTTCGGTACACAGTTCTCGATGTTTCCACGCTTGCTACTCATCGATGAGACTTTATTTGTTGTGTTTGGCGTTTGTGGCAAACTTCAAGAGTATGGACGGAGGTTTAATGTTCTCCGTCACTCGGACAATTTGATAAGGGTCCATGTATTGTAATGTCCCGTCCTCCAACCGTCCTGGTGAAGGAGACCAATATTTCGGTGAAATATCAGTTATCCTGTTTTTTTAATTTCAAGCCTAGAACTGTGTGGGCGCCAAACCTGATGCGGCGGCCCGCTCGGACGCTGCTGACGTCACAGAGGGTCATGGCGATCCGAATGATCCGCAGATACCGCACGATCTCCGGGGAGGCGGCGAACCTCCTTGACGGATTGCCGCCGTGGGATCTGGAGGCGAAGGTGCTCGCGCGCGTGTATCTCATGGCGGAATGGCAGCAACGACTGTCACAACCGAAGGCTGAGCTCGCTGCCATGGCAGCGGTAAGTCCCCTCTTTGAGGAGTGGCTTGAGAGACGCTACGTCGTCCTCACCTACCGCCTGACGCAGGTCCTCACCGGACATGGAAGTTTCGGGAGGTACCTGTGTCTGATGGGGCTGGAGGAAACGCCCGGATGTCATCACTGCGAGGACCGCCCTGAGGACACGGTGGAACACAC